TCTGATAATCTTAATTTTGGTAAATTTTTACATTCTTCTTTTAATGATTTAACTATTTCTATATGTTCTTCATTCCTTCCTTTAGTATTTGTTTTTCTAAGTAAAATTTGTATTTTATGCATTTTTTTAGAAAGATTTTCAATAAATCCGTCTACATAATTTAAAAATTCTAAGAATTTTTGTATTTGTTCTTTGGATTCTAATTTATCTGAAAAACTTTTTATTTTTTTAGATACATGAATCTGCAATTTTATTCATCTTTTATCTATTGATAATCCAAGAAAGTCTATTTCTTGTTTTTCTATTATAAATTTCTTTTTATAAAGTACAATTCCTTATTTTTTACATTCATTTATAAATTGGATTAAATGATTTCTATGTTCTTTTTTATTATTTGTACATTTTAGTATATCATCTATATAAACAATTAGAAACTCATTAAACTTTTTAAATATATTATCCATTTTTTTGATATATTTGTGGTGCATTTTTTAATCCAAATGACATTTCTAATCATTCATATTTCCCCTGAGGTATGCTAAATGTCGTATATTGTATACTATCTTCTTCCATTTTTATTTGACAAAATTCTGATTTACAGTCAAATTTAGAATAATATTGTTTTCATTTTGCAAGGTTTATTAAAATTTCTTTATTTGATAAAAAATATCCATAAAATTTAGTATATTTATTTAATTCTTTATAATTTATAACCATTCTAGCTTTTCCTTTAACATGTTCAGAATGTTTCATCAGCATAAAGACTAGATTACTATGGTGTCCATTACTTTGTCTAATAAGTTTCTGTTCTAATAATTTTTTTATTTGATTTTTGAATTCTTGTGTATCTTTTATAGTACATATAGTCTAACTCTTATTATAACATTTTCTGTTAATTCTATTTTGACTTTAGAGTGATATGATTTCCAAAATAATAATGAATTTTCTCTATAAACTTTTTCTAATTGTTCAATAAATTTTTTTATACTCATTTCTATTCCTATTTTTAGAACTTTTTTATATAATATTCTTTTATTTTTTATTTCATTATAAATGATTGGGTTTTTTCGCATTTATCACCACGCTGGGCTGGTTGAACTCTATAAGGTTTAAATTCTCTTGTAATTTTTAATAAATGTGAGTAAGGTGTTTGTAACATTGTCGTATAATTATTTTATTTATAATATTGAAATTGTTGTATAAAGTCATTTTCGAATAATATATCACATTCTAATTTATCATATTTATATATTTTATTTATTGTAACTTGTTTACTTTCAAGAATTATATTAACTTTATTAACACTATTAATTATTTGAGTGCTTTCTCCTATGACTTCAATTATTTTTATATTACTATTATTAGTCCATGATTTTATCAGAAAGCTTTTAAATATTGTTATATCATTTTCTGTGTCTATTAAAGCACAAGTTTTTATGCTTGTTTCTACAATAGTAATCCGCATATATACAGCTAATGAGAAACTTATCTGATTGTTCATTTATTCTTTTTGCATAATATAATTTGTCCATTATGTACTATGTATAATTCTTTTCTTTTTATACTATAATCTTTTAATCCATTCAGAAAACTCATTCCTATAATTATATGAGGGTTTATATTCATACTCTTATTTATATAACATGATACTAAAATGTTTATTTCTCCTATTTTTATTGGTACTTTAATTTCTAATTCTGAAATACATATTTGTCAATCAAATATATATATATATATATATGGATCAGTTTTACGAGTTATTAGATCTTTATTTCTGATTGTAGCTATATGATATTCACTAGCTCCTGTATATATTAGTATATTTGGCCCATTTATATATTATCTTCCATTATAATATTCCCCTTCCATTTTCATATTTCTAGCATTTTTGTAAAGTTTTATTTCTCTTATATTATTAAATTCTCTTGACTGATTTTTATTAGATATTCTAAGACTTTTTAGTATTTTAATCAATTTTCCATCCTTAAATATTATATTATTAGAACATTTTCTTTCATTTAATTATGTTATTTCGGATTTATTTCTTGCTATACAAAATTCATATTCTTCCGGAATTAAACTTATTTGTTTATTTAGTTATATTATTTTGCTAATATCCTTACATTCTTTATGTATTTCAATATATGGTTTATTGGAATAAATATTTACATAATTAGAATTGGTAAATGTATATAAAACTCTATATTGTATAGTCATAATTTGATCACCTGGTTGCATGATATCATCTCTATATAGCTTAAAATGCAATTCTAAAATTTCATTAAAGTTTTCATCTTTCAATGATACACAATATTTTGGGTAATATGTAAACATTATTTTTTGATATGCTAAATTTCCTTCTGTTGTTCCAAAATGACTATCTTTTAGATTTATTATTCTTCCATTATGTAAGGTTATAGTTAAGGGTGAGTCTTTCCCTTCTCTAAATAATGATTTAAACATTATTTGTATTTCTGTTAGATAAACGTATTGAATTTTTTTCACTTTGTTTTTTACTGATCTTTGTTAATAGTTCTTCAACTGTATTTTTGTTGAAAGATTTAATTTATGCTTTTCATATGTTATTTTTAAATCTATAATTTTCTCAATTTTATGATATTCATTTATTGCTATTGTTTCTATTTTCTAAATTCTATCTAAAATTTCCAATTTTCATATTGTTAAATCTAAAGATAATTTTTGCATTTTCTTAAATTTATTATTATCAAAGGTTACTTTTAATCCATAACCTTCAATTCCTTCATATTTTTGTATATTTATATTATTATTTTCTATTTCCTTATTCTGATTCTGATTCATTATCCTCTGTTTCATTTAGATATTCTTCTTGATTATAATATTGTTCAATATCCGATATTTCACTTAATTCATCTTTTATTTTCAAATATTTTTTTTGTAATATTTTAACTTTCTTTTTATCACAATCATGGCTTATATGACATATTTCTCCGCAATTCCAGCATTTACATTGGCTTATATTTTTCTTATAATTGTTATTTTTCTGTTAACCATATGAGATATTTGTTCTTTTATAATATATTCTTCTAGATTTTATATATATTTTTTTATTAAAATTTCTAAATTTCTAAACTTTTTATTTTTATATTTTCTTTTATTAACCATTCTTTCAGGATTACATCCTCATTGTGTAGGGTTCTCCATATCTTCACAACATATTCTAATTAATTTTCCTGATTTTTTCAATAATTGTTTTTGTTGACATATATATGCAAGTCTTTCAAATAAAAAAATTATTTTTGAACCTAAAGCTCTAGGTATTCCAATATTATCTCTGACATATTTTTCAAATTCTATTTTAAAATATATTCCCCATGAACCTGGTAACTTATTATAGTACATATCTTGGTATATTTCTTGATTTTCATTACTATAAAATTGAGTATAGTAATAATTTCTGAATTGACAAGTATATTCTTTAATGTTACACATATCACATATTGTTAAATTTATTAATTTAACTCTAGCATTATCTTTTTCTTTTATTGCTTTTACTTTAGAATTTCTTATCCAATTTTCTCAAAAAAATTCATCTGAAATATATTCTACTAGCTTTTCTATACATTGTTTATCTGATTTTATTATTTTTGTTTGTATTTTTCTTTTTATTAATGTTTTTATATCATTATTTATTTATTTTCACTAATTTCTAACATTTCTTTTAAAGGATGCTATTAAAAAATCTATCATTCTTTCATTACTTGAGAAATGTGTCATCTTTATTATATAAAAAGAGTAATATCATTGAATCTGCTCAAGTTAATAAGACTTTTTTAGTATTTATTTTATAATTTAAATCTAATTTTTTTCCTCCATGGTTAATAGATTTATCATAATTATCATTTAATTCAAATCTATCTCTACATTTATTTCCTTTAGGTGATTGTCCATCTCTTAGTTTATTATAAAATTGTCTACATGATTTATTATATATATGTGCATAACTTTCATCTGAATTCCGTAATTTTTGTTTAGAAGTTCCTATTGGATTATATCCTCCTCCAGTATTCATTAAAACTTGGTATTCACTTATATCACTTAAATTTAATTGATCAAAATTTTCTATAAGTAAATCTAATTCCTCATTCATCTTTATTTTCTTGATTTTCTTTTATTTTTAATTTTCCTAACATTTTTTCTTTAGATTCTTTTTCTTCTAATATTTTAGGTAGTATTTTTTTCTAAATTTATCATCCATACTTCCTGTTTCTATTACTATATTTTCTTTTTCAATATGTTTCTTTCCTATTCCGATCATTTCTTTTTCTTTAAATTTTTTATTTATCTTCTTTTCTTTATTTTTATTATTTTCTTTTAATTCTCTAATTTCAAATTTTAATATATTTATATCATTTCTTATTTCTCTTACTTCATTTCTTAAATCTTGGACATCATTTATTATCATTTTTATTAATGATTTTAATTATTCCATATATTCACCTATTGACATCTTAATTTTTCTTAATCATCTTTCTAACATATAAGAAATTTACATTTTTTAACTTCATTTACACTTATACTTTTCTTTATAATATATATTAATTTCTTCATCTTCATGTACTTTAATAATTTTTTCATACATATATATATATATATATATATATCTTTTATTGATCTTATTATTAATTTTTTCTAATATTTGTTCTTTTATTTCTTAGGGCAAATTTTTAAACTATTGTTGATATCATTATTTTTAATTTATTAAAAATAGGTTCTAAAAATATATAACTTCCTTTTTCTTCTTCTAAATATCAATAATTATTCATTTTCTTTATTTTGATTTCCACGATCTCTATGGCTCTGATACCAATTAGGGGGGTGCTATTTTGAGTGAACAAAAATCAAATAAATATATAAATCACTAAAATCTTTATCTATTCAAATAGAGGCTAAATTCTTTAAAATTTTTAAGGACTTAAATCGAAAGTTTCAATAAATGGAAAAGTAGCCCTTTTCTTTAGACTATTTTAATGTATTTCCCGTTTCAAACTCTAAACCTGCGACAAGAAGTGAAATTAACCCAATTTTGAATACAACTAATTGACAGCCACCATTCATCAGAAACACTCTGAATTCAGTTTGTGCATAGCATTTCATAGGTGATAAAAATATATATATTATTCAGCACTTGAAAATTTTGGAAATGGCTGCAAAGCAAATGGAAGAAGTGCAGAGGAAATTAGCGATGCTGAATTACCCAAGATCTAATGCTCCTGCCCAGTCCCTCCTCTTTGCCGGCATGGAACGCTATGCCCTTCTCGAATGGCTATTCTTCAAGTATAAATTCACCCACCAATCGTTTTTTCATATATATATTAAGTGCGCAATGAATTACTTTCCTTTTTATTTTTTATTTTTTATTTTTTAATATTTGTAAATTTTGCAGATTATTGGGTGATAAATCCCCGTTTTCACAGCAAAATCTACAAGGGGATGGAGTGGATCGTGACGAGGAAACCTCCCGTATTCAATGTGTTACTTTTCTCAATCCCGTTTTAAACCCTCTCGCATTTCGTTGCTATTTATGCATTTCTTTTGTAATTTCTATTTGAACTATCTATTTTTTTTTAACGAATGATCACCAGCAATAAAAGCTGTTTTCCTTTGAAAAGAACGATCAATGCTTTTTTTTTTTTTTTTTTTTTTTTTTTTTTTATCGAAATTTTGCTGTGACATTTGTTATTTTTTCAACTGCATATCGAAATTTAACATGTGATTTTTTTGTTGTTATTATTATTATTATTTTAGATTTGGCGGAAATTGCGAAATTTCTGGGTATTACTACTACCATTGACACAGAAGCCATCCAAGTGAGTTTGAATGCGATTTTTATTTAGTTTTCTGACGTGTTTCCTTTATAATCCATTTGAGGGGAATGCTAGAGATGAAAGAGAATAAAATTTGTGAGGGAAAAGGGGAAAATGCTGCCAAAAAATTGCATTACAAAAATGAAACAACGTAAAATTTATTGACATCCCTTTCATTTTCCCTCCACGTATCAAAATGGAGATGTAAATTCATCCTTTACTTTCGTCCTCTTCCCACCAAATCCATCGGAATGTTTCTTCGTTACATGTAACGTGCTGCTCCAGCTCAAGATGAAATTCAATATATAGAACAATATTCTTTCTATTTCGTAGATTTTTACACACAGAAAGCTTTAGATTTTGGTTGGACCAAAGACTTCCATATACACCCTCAAATTTGATGTGATTACATCAATGTTGCTGCTTCAAGTATCATAGCCTTTTCAAATTCTCGAAAAAGTTCTAATTTCCGAGTTGTTGAGTTTTACTGCTGAATCTCTACCAGTAAAGGCTTTTCTTTGTCTTTCATTTCCGCTTCTTCTTTTCTTTAGTTTGCTCTGACATCACACTTCAGTTTCAATCATATTTTCTTTGTCCACGAGGGTGTGCGAAGGATTTAAGATTTTACTGGTCAGAGCACTGGGATTGCCGCCTGTTGGCCGAAATCGATGAAAACTTGAGTGACTTTAATGATAATTATTTCAAAAATTTGCTGAGGATAATTAGAAAGTGTAAATAACATGTTGGAGAGTTAGGGTCCTGTGCTTGCTGGTATTCAGGTTTTCCATTAAATGGTATTTCTCTATTGAATTGCAAAATATATTAAGACCAAATTTTTAAAGTTAAGGAAATATGTCATGTATAGCAGTATTAAAAACTGGTCTCTTCACCAGTCTTCTTTTGATTGGACCAGGAACCAGGAGCAAATAGTATACATTTTTTTTTTTTCCCCTTTTCTTGATTTACAAGAATTTGCATTCAGAAGTTTGATAATATGGATATTATTCAACGTTGGATGTGAATGAGCCTGAGATTATGAAGTTAAAGCATTTTCACATTAATGACCACAATCTTCATCTTTTATGTAGGGACGAGGAAGCTATGAAGATCGCACTGAAATGCTTCGCCTTATTGTAGATCTTGTAGAGGCAAGCATCTATGCTGACAATCCTGAATGGAGGTGAGTTTGATTTGTACTTAATATAAAGAGCATGTTTGACTAAGCTTATTGCTAAAAAATAAAACCAAAATATTGGCTTCATTTGTAGAAATGAGTTTAGCCAAACGTGGCAGAAGTTGATAAAATGTTGATGCCTCTAGCATCTGACTTGGTTCACTGTTCAATCTGGTTCTCATAGCTAATTCATTCTATCTTTTATTATCCAGTGTTGACGAGCAGGTGGCAAGAGACATACAATTAATAGATGCCATAGCTGAGAAACAAGCTCAAATATTTACTGAAGAGTGCAAGTTGTTTCCTGCTGATGTGCAAATTCAATCTATATATCCATTGTAAGAATTCAATCTTTTCATATTATTTGACTCATCATTAAGAAGCCATGCTGCTAGGCAATTTCTAAATCAATGGTATACGACTTTGTATGCCATTAAACCTTTATGCATATGGAGATTAAAATTTTCAAGCAGAAGCACATTATCCTTGAATCTCCTCCCTGTTTCTTATGGGCATGTAATCATTTCGTGCTGCTTCTATGAAACACCATTTTTTATGCATATTATTTATCTTGATATATGACGTTCTACAAACTGGTTTTAAATTATTTTCTTTCAAAATACACGGTCATTCATCTATATAAAACTTTGTACATCTGATTTGGTATGGGTAATGGCCTCCCACTTGATTTTTCTTTTGTCCACTGTAAATAGACTCTTGTTTCTATGTCATTGGCCAGTCTTTATTTACTCTTGTTACTGCTAAATGCTAAGTTATTTGAAGTTTTTTATTATATTATCTCAGCCCTTATTTGATCTTGATGTATGCACTGGTTTAATTTTGGTCACAATTTACTGTTAAAAAGATATATAAGAATTGGGGCACATAACAGCTGTTCCATTTATTTTGTTTCATTTTTTGTCAATAGTCTTGATCTCCATCTTGTTATTCGTGGACTTTGTCTACATTTTTTTTTTTTTGTTGCTAATATTCTATCTATAAAGAAGCTTCATCTTAATGATACTCTGTCCCTGATTTGTTGAGATCTGTAATGTAGTTATTGGTATCTATCTCTAATAATTGTAGGTTTTGAAAGATGTACACGTTTTCGCTTTCCTTGAATGGATCAGCAATTTTTTTCAGGAAATCTTTTTTTGTTCACACGCTTCAATGAAAAGAGTTTTACATTATTTCTGTCTTGTGGGTATCATTCTAGATAGATAATAATGGATTTGGAACGATCTGGAGGGGAGGAACTAAAAATGTGGGTGGGCAAAGAAGCTAGTGACTTATATAAACTCTTCACGCTGATTGAACTTAATTAATAGGAAACTCTATTTAGTTTACATGCTGAAGGTATTATATATATATTTTTTTGTACCCCTTGATTGTAAAACTTTTTCATTTCAAATGTATATGCTTTTGCTATGTGTTATATGTAGCAAGCACCTCTTGAGGTTCTTATTTTAATACTTCTGTTCTAAAAGGATTTGTAATCACCTTAATGTTAAATACGAGGAGACTTAAACTAGTTGTATTTGTGAGAAACAACAAAGATTTAGAAAGTACACCGTCAGATTTGTCCCCTACTGATATATTTTGGACTCGATAACTGTCAGAACCAAATTACTATTATAACTACCGATTAATTTATACTTAAAATGGAACTTAAATTAGTTTATGTGGTGGAAGGTGTTGTTTTCTTTTCTTGTATATCTTGATTGTAAAAAGTCTGTCATCTGAAATGTGATTTCATTTATAATGCCT